GTTATTCATGCGAAGCTTCGAAAACGGAGATATTTCTTCATGCTACAGAGTGGACAACCACTGTCATCGGGAAAATGATGACAGATATTATTAATAATTCTTTTGAAAATAATTTTCCGATTAGAGTCTAGATCTACGTAAACAATAAATATGAAAAACAACAACAACAATAAATAGGTAGATCCACGGACGTATTTATATACGTCTTTGGTAGATCTAAGTTCTGAAAATCGTCAAATTTTTGTTTCCTCTGTCCTTAATCTGGACGTTATGAATGTGTTAGCTTGGATTATTTTCATTTACAACACACTTAATTTAGTTGTAAATGCATCATTTAAATAATGTGATAAACATAACTTTCATATGGGGGGGGGGGGGGGGGGGGGGGATGAAGAGGGACCACACCCAATGGACACAGAACAGCTACAATTAAAATATACCAGTTGTGAACAGAAGCTCATAAATCCTGAGACTATTATAACTGGTATTGCAGTACTTACTAAGGTACAAAGACAATGAGTAACTTGAGTGATGTGTTTGAATTTTCTGATTGATCATTCATTCTAAGTATAATTTAACTTGAATAAACACTATGACAGTCACTTGACTTGTATTTGAATTATGATTATAACCATTAAAACAGCCAATCATGTATTTCCTGGCACCCCTAAAAATGTAATGGCACACTTAATTTGGCATAATTGTGCCCATTGGCAAACTTGAAATAAATTTAATTTCGATCCCTGTCATGTATATCTTGAGCCACAAATCAGCCACTATGTCTAAAAGTAATATTACTTTATGTTGCCTTTTCTTATATACCTTTTTCTGAGGAGACTGTTATATTGCACACGGACACTGTTACTTTCTGATTGGAATTTATGAATATATCGTACATTTCTTTCTTTTTTTCTGATTATTGCATACTGATAATTCCTGCATTTGTTTTAACTGTATTTAATAGAAATATACCTCGAAGCATTAATTGTGTTGGGTATTTAATTATTAATGTCCTTGCTGACATATATAGGATTTCTAATTCATTGCATGTGAATGTTTTAGATAAAGAGCTTTAGTATTATCCTTAAAGAAAATTCAAAATAAATAATAATGATCATGTCATCTCTTCCAAGCAAGGGACCTAGTTTTCTGAGATCTTGACTAAAGCTCAATGTATTGATCTGTATCAATTGAAAGGAAGTCTTTGAAAGATATACACTTACAAAAGTCTTCATATAGTTTTGGCTAGTGAGGATGCATTCACATCATCATTGCAAACCGGTTATCAAGTTGCCTTGTGAGGAAGTCTCTGAATAGTCTTTGCAAAGTTCTTTCGAAGATTTCCACAAGCAAAGAAGACTCCACGGTATCTTTTCAATTTTGTTTGTTTGTAAAGAAGTCTCCGAAAAGTCCCCACAAATGTTTTTGTGGGGTCTTCGTTAGTGAGAATGCACTCAATACATCCTTGCAAACAGTCAGCTATTTTATTGCCTTATGAGGAAGTCTCCGAATAGTCCTCACAAAGTCTTTGTGGGGTCTTCGCTAGCGAGGATGCACTGATACATCTTTGCAAACCTTCAGCTACTTTATGGCCCTTCTGAGGAAGTCTCCGAATAGTCTTTGCAAAGTTGTTTTAAAGGTCTTCGCTAGCGAAGACGTATCGTAGACATCTTAAGAGATCTCCTAAGACATCCCCTGCTAGTGGAGATGCACTAGAAATGTCTTCGGTAGGTTAATGCCTTTGTGGGGAAGTACTTGATTATTCCCCAGAATAGTCTTCGATGGGTCTCCGCAAAGTCTCGGCTAGCCGAGACCATAAAAATTGGCTAAAATCCCACAAAAGATGCATCGGGACGGTCTCGGGGCGGTCTCGGATACATCTTTTCTGGGTTTTTTTGTAATCGTCTGAAAACCACTGGACATAGAGCCATCCCTTGGACATCCCTTGTTAACTCAGGCCCATAAAGCTGTTCGTTTGGTATGTTCTGGTCTGATCTAATCAACATCTAAACTGGAATACTGCATCATGGCAGAGAGTATTTTTCTGATGAAAGTCGGTTTCGTAGACATGTCTGGAGGCAAGAGACAAACTGCCATGGCTGCACACAACAATCTAGAGACCCATACATTTGGTTGGGGGTCGGAAATGGTATGGACATGTGTTTCATTCAATTGTAAACTTGACTTGATCACTGTGCAGGGTAATCTGAACAGATTTTTGTGTGCATAACAGGCTTCTCCACTCCACTGTAACTACATCCCAATCTACTCAACTGTATTAAACACTGCCTCATACCTGTATATTTACTTGTCAATCATACTCTGTACATGACTTGCTTGATAACGGTGTTAGAACCTACACCAAAACATCGATCCTAATTGTGATAGTTGTTCATCCATATATCTTATCCTTCCTTAGTACTCAAACTTCTAAATGCCTCTCAAAGAAGTCTTCAACTTCTATTTGATATGTTATCTATTATGTCAGCACTGAGTAAAGCTTTGTTGTTTCATTCAATGATGTTCCAATCTGCAAGTTTATTTGTGTAGGCTAATAGACGGTTGATAATTTCCCATCACTGTGAATTTGTCGTCTGGACAGCTGCGCATGGTTTGACCTCTTGTGTTGTGACGTGGACGAAGTTAGGATCTATGCTGAAGTCATTTATAATGGATGCAGGTGGTTTAAGTTTCTAAATAAAATGAACTATTTATCACTTTACTAATTTTGGTATGTTGACATCAGCTTCTCATGTCTGTTTCAAGGCAATAATTTATAAACAGCCTTTACAATAAATTAGCCACATATATGAATCTCAAATAGTCCAGAAAACATAAACTATAATAAAAAGTACTCATAATTTCATACAATCTCATTAAAATCAGATCTTAGTTCTCGCTACCACTAAACAAAGATCTTAGGACATCCCATTAGGGATCACGTCAGAACGACCTTTCATCCGACCAATCAGAGCGTCGCTTACCAGATCATGAAAGTGACAGTCGGAATGTGATTTCTAATCATGCACAGTTGAAAACTTTAAAACTGGGTATTCCGAACGATAGTTAGGGTTTAACGACTGAATCTATACAATCTTGACCATATATTAGCCATTCGAGAATGTTCTTTTGTTCAGGTTTCAAACTTTTAAGGGAGAATTTGTCAAAATATGTTTCGAAGCGTAGTCGCCAATTTGAAATATAAAAGGCAAACAACCAATACATAATTACTGAAAACCATCATCGATATTGCTCATTATATTTTCATAAATCATTACCTTACAAAATAGTTTTGTATTCGGCTTTTTCGTTTATGACAAATAATTAAATTGGTTTCATCTATCTATGGTCATTTTCTATTTCAAACCTTTCCTTTTGCAGAATGGGATGAAATTTGAAATTTTTCTTGAAATGAACTCTAATGTATGTACTGTCTGAAAATGCACATTATACCAAGTTGTAAATACAATTGTAAAGACACTTGGATTTATTAAAAAAATATGAAAGAAATAGTTATATTTCATGGACTGGCTATACAAGCATATTTTGAGCAAAGGTCCAAGTATGAAGGCAGTCACATGTTAAATATTTTCATCATTTTCCATTTCACTTTATCTCGATATTAATTATAATACTACTGTAAAAACCGTAATATTTCCTTCTATCACCTATGCAAGTGATCGTATTCCTTGTATTAAACATAGCCTACTCTAACCTTCAAGTGCTCTCAAATTCAAGTATTTAAATTGTCCAATTATTTCACGATTCAGACCTTTTATAAATTAGATTTGAACCATTAACAACACATCCTAACATCGGAAGTATAAATAAGCGGTCTGCATGATTGCGCAACTAAGCAATGCTTGTATCGCATGGTGCCTGAGTTATGATCCAGTGATCGTGGTAACTTGGGTGATAGTAAGTTAGTGTATTCTTGTTAATTAGTAAGAAATAATAATGATGTCTGATATTGAGTGATGTCACTTGGAGGATTACTTGGACTATTCAACCGTCTTTATGCTTTGTTCTTTGAAAATGTCTGATGTCAACATTACCCTGAAATTGTTGCCATCACTAATGAAAGAGCACTGATCCTAACGTTGCGTGGTTATTAAGAGTTATGTCCCTTCTATGTCCTTAGTGACCAATCAGATTCCATCTCTCATATCACTTGTATTTGCTTCAAACAAAATTCAGTCGAGACGATATGATCAATAATCAAAATTTGATTGTAATGAAACGGGTCTTACCCCGCCAGGTGCATAAAATCACTTCAACACCTTGATTAAAAACATGGAACGATTTGCGAAATATCTGTCAACGCCCAGTTACAGGTACATATGCTTTACAAATCCTGCAGTTGACAGAAATCTGCATGTTGAAATCCATGTTGTTAATGAACCGGATGTCTAGTTCATTACACAATTTTGATTGGACAAGGCATACACTTGTTAGTCCAGCCAAAATGTAACACCAGTATTCCAGCCCAGTTCAGCAAGGGTGGAAACTGGACTTTAAAAGTCAGTTAATGCACTTGTCTCGAGAAGATGCGAATACCAGCACTTACACCAATTTCAATGGCTAAGCATCTAGTGAATGTGCCTATTAGTTTGGACTTACTGAATTTCGATACTTTTGCAAAGATCAAGTCAAACTCAAGTTGAATGTTATACAATTTGGTTACACTGTATGAAGAAACACGAACGTGGTAACACTTTTTATACAATGTATACTTTGTTTACACCATGGCGCCAGCATATGTGGCACTGATCTCTATATACAAGCCGCCTAACGGCCAGGCACCACGAGAGTATAAAAAATAAGTCATTAACGTAGTTATCGAAGTTACTTGGTGGTAACCAATGGTTTGGTCCAATATAACGTGTGTTCGTCTCGCATTACTCCAACTACTTAACAAGTCCGACATCCAGACTATACATTAACGTGAAGGTATTACCAGCAGCAACGTTCCTATATAGATCTATGACTCGTATACAAACCTTGTTTTGTCAGTCGTTGATTCTGATGTATCCACGATTCACACAACAAACACGGAAGCTTCGGCTTCTCGTTGTCAAGAGCAGAGTAACGCTCCTGGCAGCGCCTTGCGATTTGATAAAAGGATTGACAGGTTGCATGCGCTGTAGTGGAGTTTGACCCAAGCTATCTTCCAAGTGCGTGACACTGTTACCCTCCGTGTCTCATCGCTGTAACCAGTGTGCAAGTGGCCATTACAAGAATATTGTAGTGACATAGATTCTTTTAATTATATACTTCAGTGTGAAAGACTGTTGTTACTTAAGTTGAGAACAATGATATTCAAGTCCATGGGCGGATACAGATGCGGGGGTGCGCACCCACCCCACCCACCCCTTTTTATTTCGAAAAAAATCTTTATTTCTGTATTAATTACCACCAAAGACAATAAATAGATCTTAATTGTGCACCCCGTTCCGTTTGTTGTGGTACCTGTGGTGCTGGTTGAAGTGATGGCAGCGGACAGCTGTTGCTGCTGCGGTGGTGGTAGATGACGATCAAGATCAGCAAATATATCGGTAATTCACTGAATATATCACATATTTGACTGATTCTTGACACATTTCTGATTTTCAAGTCCTCAAGAGGAATTTGAGAGAGAATTATCTCAAGTAGGATTAGAATCAGTACATTATGGTATCAGAAGAGGACTGCTGTCAATTACACAGGGAGTAACTATAGAGGCAGATCCAACCGGGGTACCGCTGGTATATTCTGGCAGAGATGTAATAGAGGAAGAAGCCTCGTAAGAATTATCGAACAATAGTTATCATTGTTAATAATTCTAAGAATACTACCTCTATTACATTCGAAGTACTCCCTCCCACCTCCCCAATTTAACAAAGCTAAATAAGTACAATAATCTTCAAGTACAATACTTCGTCAAAACAGCAAAAACTAAAAACCGGAAAAAAAATCAGCGAAGAAATAAACCACCACACACACGCAAGAACATTATGGCGCAAAATACACGCAATCAGAGGCATTAAACGAACCAAAAAAAACACCAAACATAAATTACTCAACAAACCCTAAACAAAAAGCAAATAACCTAACAGTACACTTCTCGGCCATTAGTACCGATAGTACTTTCTCTGGGGAATTCCAGAAACAATTAAAAAATGAAAATAAATTCGAAATTTACCCGAAGACGATAACCTAGAACTTAATCAACCATACGCAATAGAGGAACTAATCCATGTATTAAACAATCGAAAAAACGAAACAGCCCCCGGTCTAGACCTAACCTCATACCAAATAATTAAACAACTACCCACAAATATTTTTGAATCACTTCTTAAACTATTCAATCTCATCTACCAAAACAATCAGGTTCCGACTTCATGGAAAGAGGCTTTGGTCATCCCAATACCAACCCAGAACGCCAACGCAAACGAGGCAAACTCTTACAGACTAATCTCCCTAACCTCAAATTTATGTAAAATCATGGAGGCACTGGTCAAAAATAGGCTCCAACACTACCTAGACCAAAACAAAATAACAAACCCGGACCAAAGCGGATTCACCCCAGGCCGCTCAACCTTAGACAACCTCGCCCTCTTATAGAACAAGACATAAAAACGGGCCAATTGAACAAACCATACACAGTATAGGCATATTCCTAGATTTCTCTCAGGCTTTCTTTATGGAATGGCATATCAGACTAATACAAAAAAAAGTAGGCCTCAAAGGCCACATAATAAACTATATTCAAGACCTCCTGACAATTCGCAAAATATCCGTGAGAATCGACCAAACACTATCAGACAAGTGTCCCTTATAGAATGGCACACGCCAAGGCAGCATTCAAAGCCCAACACTTTTTAATATTATGATAAACGACCTATTCGAGGGAATATTAATTAAAGTTCAAACGTCTAAATACGCTGATGAAGGAGCCCTCTGGATCCGCACCAGACGGATAAATATGGCACAAAAATTATTGCAAAAGGCGTTGAACAAAATACAAATGTGGGCAAATAAATAGGGCTTCTCACTAAATGGCGAAAAAAACACAGGGGTAGTTTTCAAACAGAAAAATATACACGCAAATACCCTCTAACTACAACTGAACAATAATCCTATAAATTTCCAAAAACAGACCAAATTTCTAGGACTAATCCTTGATGAATATCTAACCTGGACTTCTCACATTAAAAACCTTATTAATAGATGCAGTAAAGACCAAACAAAAACTAATCCTAACTGACTCACTTAGTGGACTGACTACAAGCTATAAAATAAAACAAACAAAAAACCGACCTAAACTAATACAGCAGATACTGAAAAGCTCCACCAAACTCCGCAATCTCGGTAAAGAGATAGAAGTTATATGGATCTCTGCCCACGTCGGAGTGTTTGGTAACGAACATGCCGACAAAGCAGTCAAAGTATAACTAAAATTTGAAGAAATAAGCATAAACTAACCAATATCTAAAAACGAGATCACTAAGAGTAAAATCTTCAAAAGGATCAAATCAATATCAGAAATCAAACTGTAAACTAAAGCAGGTGCTCCAAAAGCCACTCGAAAAAAAATCCTTCATAAATAAAAAGAAAATGACAGGGCAATAATCAAATTACAGACAGGACACACTAAACTAAACTCTCACTTACACAACATCAGAAAACACCAAACAGATAAATGCTCTCACTGTAACCTAATAGAAACACCTGAACACGCACTATTACACTGCACACACCACTATTCCAGGCATATCCAAGTAGTCTATGTACATCATGTATTCCATTTCGTCCACATGGACACAGGCGCACACTCATCCATTCATACACACACATATTACATATGTGAGACAAAGATAAAGTTTCTTTTAAAGGTTTTGTTACATCTTTCAACGATTACTCATCCTCGTGGCGCATCGGCGGCGAAACTACAATTGTAGCAGAAAAGCAATTGCTTACACCTAAGAAAAAAACACAATTTGTTTTACACCAACAAAAATAACATTTTTTAAGAAAATAAGTAACCCTCAATTTACCATCTGTGCAGTAAATTATTTATTTAAACACAACACGGTTGAACATGATATATGTTGAAAATCGGAATCTTGAGCACTTCGGGATTTTAGTGGTAGATGGTTTATCATAACTGTGAAAACCCTGGTCACAATGCCAGTCAGTTCTGTTGCTGCAGAACGGTCGTTCAAGACATATTTCAGGTCAACAATGACCAACGAGAGCTCTTTGACACTCATCCACATCCACAAGGACATTGACAAAGTGATAGACGACTTTTCTAGAGGAAGGAACTGCCGAGTTGCCGTTTCACGCCCTCATAAAATTGGTTTTGCATTCACTAAATATTAGCCTAGTTGCCCCCTGCCCACGCGCCATGTAATGTTCTCCAACCTATAACAAATAAGGAACGCTAATTCGTCAATCCGAAGGACATACAAGGGACATAACTCGTGACAGGCACTGGTGGTGGTACGATCGAGCCACGAAATTCCAGCCTTGTTTGACATTGTTTCAGAAGTCATTGTTGTGAAAACATATTGCTAGTTATGTTTTCATAAGTTTGTTTTCAAATATTTTTATCACATATGTATTGAAAATCAATGTGTCATGCTCGCATTCCTGATTCTGAAGGTACCACATGCAAACTACAATTTATTTCACCTTCTGGGTCACACGTGTGCGTTTTATGACAGTGTTTTAGTGCAAACTATTTCAATACTTTTCTTTAAAACTTCATTTATTTAAAATTCCTTTTTGCTCCAATATGTTCCCAAAGTGTGGCAGTTACAGGTTTTGCTTAACTGTCAACTAACCAGTAATATACCAGTAGTATATAGTGTATATAATACATAGTGTAGTTAGTATTATAATAAATATTAGCATTAGTTATTTGTGTCAGTATTAGTATATAGTGTATGTAATACATAGTGTAGTTAGTATTAGCATTAGTATTATTATTAATATTAGTATTTAGTATTAGTATTAGTATTAGTATTTATTATTAATAATAGTATTTAGTATTAGTATTTAATATTAGTATTTAGTATAAGTATTTAGTATTAGTTTGCAGTATGGGTTTTAGGGATTTTAATGAAAATTTGATACAACACATTTTAACTTAGTTATGCTTGGGTCAGTCACTACCCTATCAGCTCCTTTGTGTCAGCCATTGTTTATACATATTTACAGATCTGAACACAGCACTACCATAAAACACAATAAATTACTAAACATCCTAAAACTATCATAAATGTCCACACACTTACAATACATTTAACACATATATGATAATAGCCTCATAAACATATTCAAACAACACCCTGTCCAGGAGAATCAGACATTGACTAAATCTCACACACATCATAACAAATACCTTATTTAACGTACACCTATTTATATAATCTTATTTATGAAAAAATAGGTTTATATATGTTTGAGTATTTAATTGGAAACATACCTTGACTTCACAAAATCTAAAAAAATGTGTCCACTTGCTGTCGCCTGTCAGTGACTTGTCTGTGTAGTGACTGAGGTGCAAGTGAGGGTTAAAAAGCATGCAAAGCTGACCCTAAGGAAAACAATAGGGAACCACTCAACCAGAACATTTGCCCTGGCTGACACAAAAGAGCTGATAGGGTAGTGACTGACCCAAGCATAACTAAGTTAAAAGGTGTTGTATCAAATCTTCATTAAAATCCCCAAAACCCATACTGCAAACTAATACTAAATACTTATACTAAATACTAATATTAAATACTAATACTAAATACTAATATTAATAATAAATACTAATACTAAATACTAATATTAATAATAATAATGCTAATACTAACTACACTATGTATTACATACACTATATACTAATACTGACACAAATAACTAATGCTAATATTAATACTAATACTAACTACACTATGTATTATAAACACTATATACTACTGGTATATTACTGGTTAGTTGACAGTTAAACAAAACCTGTAACTGCAACAGAAGTGCGCCAAACTTCTTTCCGCTTTGTCTAGTTGAAGTATACAGCAAACACTCAGCGCATCCCCTCTATGATAAGCCCCCTCCGGGCAGA